ACATACCCTATCTAATTCTTCTTTCGTACTTTCCTCAATTGCTCTAATATCTTCCATAGTTAAACCATACCAACGATCTATCCAACAGAAAACTTGCCTATGAAAGTTAGTAAAAAGACGCCTCTCTGCTTTTTGTATAAAATTTTCAACACGATTTTGCAAACCAAACCATTTGAATTCACAAGTCACTAGCTTATAACATGTCATTACAGGTTGGACATTGTTCTTCCAATCTTTATTAACAAGAGGACCACGACCTGTTTTCACAGATTTAAATTTAGTTGGGTCTTCATCTTCTTTGTAATCAGCACTTGCGATTGAATCATTTGCAATATCAATGTGTACGATTTCTCTCATTTTCAATTTATCAGGAGGCAATTCATGAACCTATTAATCAAAGAATAACGATACAACAAGTAACGATACGAAAATGATAAAATACTTTTTTAAAATTTTTATACCTACATTGTGCTGATCTCCAACATCATCGATGTGAAATGATTCGATCATAATTACAAAGTTTTCTTTCATGTATCCAGGGTTCTGCACAAAAAGAATAATATATAAAAATACATAATATATACGATGTAAGAAAGTATATTTAAGAAACAAATTGTACTCACAGTAATAACTGTTTTGCAATAAGGATAAGCATTCCAAGCTTCTTCATGAATTTCCAAGGAGTTCTTTGGCAACATAATACGAATAAAAGCAGGCACTTTACTAGCTAAATGATAAATTTTATATGTATATTGACCTGAAGAATATTTTCCACCAAGCAAAGGATAATCTGTGAATGGCTCATTTTTTAGCACTTCTATACCCTCTCCTCCTCCAGTATTATTTTTGCTAGCTTCTGCTACAGAATATAGTTGAGCCACTTGGTACTGCCATGAAGTAAATCACATTTCACAATGGATATTATAAAGATAATGTAAAATTTATCTTAATGAAAGATAAGATCTAATTACAGACAAGTACATCTTATAAAAGGATTTTAGTATCTATAATTTATTCATTAAACAAATCACTACTAAACCATCATAATTTTAAACAACTTTTTTTCTTCCACGAAGCACAAAAGTACGAAAAAAGAGCTTAACAAACGTATAATAATAATTAGAGATTGAATTAAAATAACTAGACCAATGAAAAAACTTTATTACATCGCAGAATTAAGTAGCAGTAAATATAACAATGAAATTAGCACGATGCGACAATATTCGTCAGATACATTAGAATAAAAATTTGAAAGAACATCCAAGATAACTACATACTTCTAAATAAATGTCAATTAAATGATTTGCAATTTTTTCCAAACCACACAGTAACGATGTAAAAGCTAATTTAAGTTAGTTTTTTTTCTTTTTCTATAGAATAATAACACATTTCAGAATGGGTCATTACAACGAGACTTTGTTGTTCATTAAATACATACCTCTTTCACGTTAAGAGGTAAAGTGACACGGCTGCAACAAAGAAAAATAAATTATACTCCTGTTCAATTAAATAACAAACAAAAAATAATTATGTATTTACGAGCAACGACCTTGAGTACACTCAAGCACGATATCAAGTACCATATACCAGGTATCAAAAACCGAACGACAGATAATAACGTACGACGAGCAAATTCCTTTCGAAACGTTACTCATCAGTTAAAATGACATCGTTCGTCGCCCACGAAAATTTTCTCCGTATGGATAATAAGGGATGAAACTACATCCCTCTTTACCCCTCCATCCCACCCGCCGTTAAAGATTAGCAACCATATATCCCAAGAATTGCTTTTAAATATTCGGCCGATATCCCCTTATCGCAGTGTATCAGGACTAACAGGGGAAAATCTCAGAGAAACTTACTATTCTTTGATGAGCATTTTAACAAGCAGAGCACATGGGCTGCAGTAATTTCAGTGCGACCACACAGAACCACCCTTGCTACAGCAAATTCACTCGTGTTATCTCTCAACCCGCAGTCAACGCATACAACAGCGTCGACTTCTCAACCGACTGCCACACACTCGAATCACCGAGCGAGTAGCGAGTAGACACACTGCACAGCTACTACCACGCACACATACTTGTACACACGTGTACATCGAATTCCCCCACTTTCGCCTTACAGACACTTTGCAAATGACGTCATGCTTATATGCACCTTAGTTCGCATGCGCATTTATCACTCCTCGGTTTAGAGTAATTTCGTCTGGGGACTTTGTGTAGCGAAGCTTGCGGAAAAACACACGGGGATATCTATTAAATATATCGTTTGTAAATAAATTTTTTATCACACGCTACTGGCCAAACCAATCGTTCTTAATTTACAATTTTTATTCGTTTAAATTGAAAATATATCATCCATATTATACATATCGTAAATGTGTATGCACGTATAATTGAAAATCAAAATTTATCGCGACATGAAAATTGAAGATAAAAAAGTGTAGAACGTGCAAACGCGGCATTATATTTAAATCGAGTAAATATTATTATTATTTACGGTTTATAATTTTCAATACGATAATTAAATTATGCAATAAGATTAATTACATAATGACTTAACAACAGACGATGATACACGACGATGAACCATGAATTTTAATATCGTAGATATTACAAAATACAAAATGTCACAATTTTCGATAAAAGGATTCGCAATAACAAACAAGAATCATCGCTATTGTAAATATCGTTCACCGAATAAAATACGAAAGATACGAAACAAAAAAAAAGTTTTTACGTGGGTGTTAAAAAATTCAACGAGCAGATGATTTTTTTTATCGTACATGCTTACAAACGAGAAAGTTGTTTCGATTGGTTATCTTTTATCTGAATATAGAGGGATATTTTTAAAAAGACTTTTGAAAAATATAATTATCGAGTTTGAAAATTACCGATTCTTACTTGGAAAGTAAGTCATTTCGACACAGATACGTATATACGTACAATATCGAATATCTGTGACACGCAAGTTCCAAATCTGTACATGAAAAAAAAAATGAAAACGATATTGTAGAAGCGATTATATATGTTGTTAAGCCGCTCTTACACGCAACTACGCAGCGAAAATAAACTTCGTACATTTGTATTAAACATTGCTTCGTAACGACATGTATTTGGTTATGAAATCTATATCGTGCACAGACGTTACATATATCACGTAACGTTCGTTGGCTCATTTTAGAATCGACTGCAATCGACGAGTCCGATTGATCGATGTACGTGCAGTTTGGTGCGCGTGACGAAACGTACTCGGATGACAGCGCGTATACCGACGCGCCTAAGAGCATTTGGTTCAGAGTAGAACGAAAAGATGAGACCGTCGTTGGGAGGTTCGAAGGAAGATCGAGCAACATGTCCGCACAGTTTTCCGCGAGGTGGGCTCACCGGTGGACTATTATAATCATCATTTAAGTTTCGTTGTTACACGTATAGAAGTACAAGTACATATTGAGAATGTATGGTGGCCTGTGGATGTAACGAGGAGAAGACGCGTGGAGAAGTTAGCAAAGTCGGAGTAGCTACGTTTCGGGAAAGCTGACGAACAAGCGAACATCAAATCGCGAGAAAAGTGAAAGAGACTGAGACCGAACGTTCGAAGATTCGAATCAGAATGGACGAATGTATGCTGAACGATTTGTTGGAATGCTCGGTATGTCTCGAGCGATTAGACACATCGAGCAAAGTACTTCCCTGTCAACACACCTTTTGCAAAAAATGTTTGGAAGAGATAGTTAGCACCCACCGTGAATTACGGTGCCCCGAATGTCGCATTCTGGTCGATGCCAAAGTGGACGAGCTGCCTCCCAATGTGCTGCTGATGCGAATTTTGGAAGGAATGCGCAACGCAGCTCCCAAATCTACGAAATCTGTAGCTAAAAGCAACACAGGCCCTCAGAGACTTTTCGGTGGCCACCAAGTTACCTCGACTCCTATCGTAACTGCTAGTCCTACTCCCGCCGCGTTGACAAACGAGCCAGTTCGGCATGGTAATACAACAGCGAAACAAATTCAACTACACAATCAAACATATGGCCGAGCAATCTACGATTACGTGTCAAAAGTTCCAGGGTAAGGTTATGGAAGCTACTCGAACATCGAGTTGATATTTATTTATATTCATTTTATTAATCGTTCAATATCTCAGGGACTTGTCATTTAAGAAAGGCGATGTCGTTGTCCTTCGTAAGAAAATTGATAATAATTGGTGTTTCGGGGAAAGTGCCAATAGTCATGGAGTTTTTCCTTTATCTTACGTTCAGGTATGTTAGAATATCTCACAGCTTTAGTACAGAAATGTCAAGAGTATTTAGCATCTAGTATGTTCATGCGTACAGGTAATCACACCATTAACACCGGATGTTCCTCAGTGCAAGGCTTTGTACGATTTTAGAATGACTAACGACGACGAAGATGGCTGTCTTACATTTAACAAGGTATGCAAAAACATTTGTACATTTGATCAATTCAACGTTACATTTCCTGTCTCTGTTTCGCAACAACCACCAAACGTAAATTAAATAATTCAAATGATTTTACAGGGTGAAATTATCAATGTTATTAGAAGAGTCGATGAAAATTGGGCAGAAGGAAAGCTTTTGGATAGAATTGGTATCTTTCCGTTGGCTTTTGTGGAACTGAATAGCGTGGCAAGAGCTCTAATGAAACTATCAACAAAGTAATTTTTACGATTTAAATCTTAAAAGAATATAACGCGATGTGAGAATTAGATTTGACATAATTAGCACGATATCATTTCTCTCAAATAGCGCACAACCAGGTCCGTCGAGAGTGGCGCCTCCTACTCCCACTAACGAAGAAACTACACTCTTAATACCAACTGATCATTCGCGTAATTTACAGACAAATCAGTTGCGACCTCAACTTGTACAGGTTAAATCACAAGTTAAATTAATTCACATTTATTTTTTAATATTTCAAAGTATCAAGAACGTCCGTAACCTCGGTAATTTTTAAAATTTTGAAATTTTTCAGAATACGATTTTACCAGTCTCTGACTCCATTTCAAACGTATCGTCAGGAGGTAGTTCTTCAACTACTACTCCAAACACTCCTAATAGCTCGACTACATCTAGCGGTTCCAGTACCGCTCCAAGTAGTCCTAGCAGTCCAGCAACATCTCCTCCTGCAGTTGGAAATAGACACAGCGTTAAGCGTCACAGTTTCACCGCTGTTAATACCGGCCATCAGGCTCATCCACATCACAGACACAGTGCTGAAATACTCGGTCCTCCGTTGGACAATGCCATTGGTAATAGTAACAGTAACAGTAGCAGTAATGATTCATTCTCTCCACTACAGGTAAAATATAATCTTTACGCAAAGGATGTAATCGAAAACTTTGCACATCTCACGTTTATAGTAACAAGTTATTACTTGTATCTCTCAGGCAAATACCAGCGTTGCAGATCGCAATCTTCGTCACAAGCGAAGCGGTAGCAGCGATCTTGCCCTTGCCCCACAATCGTCGCAAAGTTTATCCGCTACAACTGGAAATACTCATTTACCAGCTGCATACATAGCTCTGTATCCGTACAAACCTCAGAAAGCAGATGAACTCGAGTTACGAAAGGGCGGCATTTACATGGTAACGGAACGATGTCAAGACGGTTGGTTCAAAGGAACTTCCAATCGTACACAAAAGTGCGGAGTCTTTCCAGGAAATTATGTCGCGCCTGCCAAGTGATATGAAATTCTTACAATGGAAACGCACAGTGTAATCTCTTGATTTTAAACGATTCTATTTTCGTAGATGTCAACGCGGCCTGTGCCGAGGATCGCCAAACACAGGACAACACCAAAATTTTCCATCTTCGACGGGTCAAAATAGCAGCGACTCGCGAATAACTACGACTTATACCAAAAACAAAGGATCCGCCCCTCAACCTTACAATTCACGGACGTTGTTACCCCCAGAATTGCCACCACGTGCAATTAGTCCGTCTTTCATGGTATCATCATCTTGGCACGGTCAAAGTCAAACACAAAGTCAAGAAAATAGCCCTCCCCGATACAAGGAACAAAATTCAGCAAATCCTCTTGGACGCAGTCACAGCGCTGTCACGTCACCAAATATTTGTACGTAATAATTTTGTTAGACGAAAGAAACACGGCGTCAAATTATACGAGATTGCTTTTGTCTGCCAGCTTCTCCTGGAAAACAGATAACTCTACCACAATCATCAACGACTACGACTACAACTACCGGTGTCAACAACAGCAGTACCATCGTTACCGGCGCGACTTCGTCCATGACGAATGAAATCAACAAAACTCCAAATGCTATTTTACACGCTACGTCTTCTCCTTCTGCCGCGTCTGTTTCTACACCTAAAAACACCGAAAAGGTATAAGCTTATCTTTCCGTAATATTTGTTTTTTCATTTCATACGGAGAGGAGGGCATTAACTTCGATCACTTCAAATACCTCTATTTTTTTTAGAAATACGGAGGAACTTTTAGGAAGTTTATTCTTTTATTTTTGGTAAGAATAGAAAATGTCGAGACAATTTCAATGATTTGTAAATATAAGGTCCTCGGATATCGCGATCAAAGTTAGTGCTCCGTGATACAAGTGTACGTAGCGTATGTAGATACAAGAGTACAAGTATACGTAGATGAAATATATCTTTGAACCACAGCAAAAGGAGAAAAAGGACAAATGCGTTTCTTTGATGCGTCGGTTAACGAATATTAAAAAATCAAAATCACCACCTCCTACGACATACTCTATGGATAATCCCGTGTTCGAAGATAATGGCAGTTCCATCAATCCGATACATGTTCGGTAAGCTCTTTTTTCTCATCCCGGTAACGAGTTATGCTTGCAAGTACAACGGACTCGAACACGCACGAATTTCAAGAAAATAAAACGATTTTTAACAATTTGCACGTTCGTAGCATATTTCAAATATTTCATCAACAATTTGCATGCGTCACCGTGCGAAATTATTCGTCTCAACACAGCACAGTGTAAAACGTGTTCGCAATTCCGTACGTGTATTTTTGCTACATGCCGTATAATCGTTGAAATCACTGCATGATCGTAACGTTTATACACGATTAGCGAATTAATTATACATATCGTGCAAAATAGTTGAAGCTTTTTCAAATTGTTCTCTTTATTTTTCGCTACGTCTTTCGATACAATATGAGCTGCACGTGTTAAATTATTTGTCTAATTCTACACGGGGGTGGGTTGGGCGGATATATTTAAAATTAGATCGGGATCTTGCCCAAGTCAGTTGCTACAGGTGGGAGCTACACAGGAATTAAATGCTTCAAACAACCACCATCGTTTATGTCCAGGCTCCGTGCAGGGACACGTCACATCTTCGCAAAGACTTAAATACAAGGAGAGACCATCTTTACCGGTCTCGATCCTCCAGAGGTTAGTTATCAAAATTATAAATTCAACGAGTAAGATAATTGAAAAACTAACAGTATTTGCAGTAAAATATATATTTACATCAACGTATTTGTCCAGCTCATATAGAAAACGGAAATTGTATTTAGTCTTGTACGATAAAACAATATATACGCGATATTTGCGCGACGCGTACGTTCGACCGCATCAACATTTGCAATTAAACGTACACGGTACAACGAGTAAGTATGTCAACGAATATTGCAAAAATTAAGGAGCGTACGTTGCAAATGCTCGATCGTCTCGACGATGTTAAAAAAACACGTTTCGTTTCATTATTTTTTAATCGCATCTCTATTTTTTGCGTAGTCGTTGCTATTTTTTTTAAATTATTAATTTTTATTAAAAATTTGCTCGTCGACCGAGCATGCGTGCGTTCAATGTGTAATCATCGTACGAAATTGACGAGTACGATCTTTGAAACTAATGCAAATCTACCCTTACTCTTATCATTGACATTCACAGATCCAACGAATCGGGTGCGACGGTATGTACACCAATGGCAAATCACCATCGCAAGAGTAACTCGTTAGACGCTGGCATGGGAAAACAAGCGAAACAACAACCTACGCGCGAACGGTAAGAATCATCATTCGAATTATTTCATATTTTGTTTCCACCTTTTCTCCTTTTTCTCCATCTCATCTCTCGTCTAATCGAGTTATCAATATTTCTTGCTTCAGAGAGCGAGTGTACAGATTTCGTTGTATCGTGCCGTATCCCCCCAACAGTGAATTTGAACTGGAACTTCGAGTAGGAGATATCATTTACGTACACAAAAAACGCGATGACGGCTGGTACAAAGGCACTCAACAAAGAACCGGTCGTACGGGCCTTTTCCCAGCCAGTTTTGTCGAAGCTTTCTGAGATACAGCGCAAAATCATTTCGTACTAGAAACTTGTATATAATACCGCACAAGCTTACGACGACACATCGCACATCGGTTTTCAGATTTATCAAAGGTATAATCGTCGATGCGAAGGTAAGCGTACGATCCAAATTATAAAATTGATCGTAACGCGCTAAAGGGTACTTCGACTACACGCCGCGTATACCGCGCAGCACTACGTTTATACGTTTCTCTTTACGATTACGATAGAATTTCTTTAATCGTACAACGAACGAAACGTAACGAAGTTGTTCGAAACGGACACTGCCGTTGACGGTACGTTCAAGAGAAATTATCAAAACTGTCTCTCAAAGAAACGAGAGATTACGTCGCATCGACACTGCCATTTGAACGAATAAAAATAATCGTGAAAGAACGTATCAATGTCGTTTCTCATCGATACAACGTCGTCGACGATCGCTTTTTATCGTCGCGAGTTCGACGTTATTTTATATATTTACGTTCGAAGTTTTCGTTCGTACGTCGTAATTCGCGAAAGTAAGATAACTCGACTTTTCGTAAGATTACTCAAATTATCGTCAAACGTTGCGATTGTTATTTAAATGCCAGTTTTTAAAGAAAAATAACACGATTGTCGTTGAGATTTTGTTTAATTCCTTCGAGTTACTTTTAAAAAATTTACACGATATATCTCGTGGCGTTACCGCAATCGCACGGACGTAAGAAATTACATCAGTTTCTATCTCGAGGTCAGCTTCGACGAATTTTCCCTCATAGGCATTTTTCTTAGGAAAATATAGCAATTCATATTACAGAACGAAAAAAAAAAAAAAAAAAAAAAAAAAAAAAAAAAAAAAAAAAAAAAAAAAAATCATACCTTTTACAATATCGACGTACTTTTTCGTTGGATAAAAATATACGCAACATCACGCACCGATTCAATACCAGTAACAACGACTAAATCTCGCAAGGTTGATTTTGTCAAACACGTAAAGACTGGCCCGTGTTTTTGGAAAATTGTAGACACAAGTAGTTTTTAACAAAAAAAGCGAGGTACGACATTGACGTACTCGCTGATATTAGTAAAATTAATTGCACATCCGAACTGTACAACCGAATTCGTACGTTTTTCTTATTTACGGAATATTTAAACGTTCAAGCGCAATAAGAAATTATACGCTCAACAGCCTGTTTCACGCAGTATAATCGTAAGAAATTATTAAAATTAATCAACGAGCTTCCTAATAATAATCAACATTTGATTAAATTTGTTGTTATTTTTCTATCGTTAGACGCTATTCTCGATTATACATAACACGTATGAGAAACAGTCTATCACCAGCATTGTCATTTGTTTGGTAGTTTTAGTTGCATCGACTTCAAAACAATTTGTCATTTATAAAATAAGCTCAATCGCGTATTACTTTTCCACGTATGTTGCAACTTATTCAATTTATATCGATGTTTGCAATATTGAAAAAAATATTTTACATACCTTTTTTTTCAGTATCGTACAAACGTATTCGAACGAACAACACAATGCACAAGGTCGTAAAATCGATCAAGTTTTCTTTGCAACATCCAAAGAGATGCGTACCGTACAATTTGGAAAATAGATCTTAAAAATGCACGATTCATCATTTGCAATGTAAATGAAAAATAACTTTTACACTCCGAAAGTAGCGAATACACCAAGTAGGATGCATTCGGCTTAAGGTGAGATTCAGCCGAATCGACGTCAACGCTAAATACTTTAACGTACGACCTTGTTTGTATTGTTTCCATTGCACCATGTTCCACGCGTGCATAGCACGCGAAGGCACACGTACGTACGGATAGGATAACAGAGGAAGGAATAACAAAAAAGCATTTAACTTGGTAATTTAAGAATTACCAAGAATGTAGAATTTGAATTTAAAATCATAATATTGTTACAACAATGATCGCATCTTGGAAAAATATTTTTCGAAATTACAAAGAAAATACCGATACTGTATATTTTATATTTGTTTCTTTTAACATATAATTTTCTTCTCTCTTCCTCCGACGTTATAAAAAAATATATCTTCGTATTAGCAGCGTATACCGTATAAAATGTATTTACACGTAGGTGTTTTATATAACAAAATTAAGTAACTTATCAGTAATAATAACAGCTTGTAAGATAAATATCGCTTCGTTATGATGTTTAAAATAGCGATACAAGCAGTAATAGCAAGCATTGACGTACATGGCAATGAAAACATTGAAAATCACGATTAATACGTACGATTTATCGAACTTTGTTCATTCTTTAGTTTAAAACGTAGTTTAAATTACGTTCTAAAATACAATAATACGAATACAGTTTAGATTGTAAATAAAATGTGATTCAACGAAAAATTTAAACTATTTTCTATGTCACATGGTCATTTTATAAACAAATTAGGAGAAAAATTCGTATCTTTCATCCAAGTTTCGTAATTTATATTGCAATCGAGCGATTCACAATGATTATTTTTAAATTTGATGTATCTTTGCGTTTCTTTCAATTACGTTCGATCGTTGTATCAATTGCTCGTAATTTCATAATTTTTATTTTAACATAAAATTATATCAAATTTACCATCGTTTGTGTTCGATATCGAGTCAAAATTGATATGTATATTATATATCAAACAACAATATCAAGATTTACGTTCGATATCGTAAAATTAACATTTGTCAATTCAAGCATCGAATAAAAAGTATACAAAATATTATGTACCACACGTATCATCGATCTCTTCCCGGCATTTTATTATCAGTAAGTTTCATCGCTATATCTCGAATTCCAAATTAACGATATCAATGTCGTCGTTGAGATACAGCAAGAAACACGTATCTCATTTGGAACGATGATCATTCGATACACGCTTATATTTATTTATCGGAAGATGCAACGATCAAAATGGAAAAATTCCG